AGGAGGAGGCGGCTCCGCCAACTGCACGGTGCTGGCGGTGCGGCAGCTCGGCGAGCGCTTCTCCTGCACCTTCTCCTGCGGAGCCGCCTGCCGGGGGACCGCCCGCTACCCCTGCCTCCAGGTCCTGGTCCGCACCTCCCGCTCCTCCGTCCCCGCCTTGCTCCATGAGGACGAGCGGCAGCTCCGTACCAACCCTAAGGTGAGATCCGGGACCTCAAGACGCGGGGTAAAGGCGGGGTGGTCGTGGTTCCATAGGACAAGTCCTGACTCGTCGCCCGAGGTGCTGGGTGCCCTTTTTTTTGTGTCCACCACTGGGGTTCGGGTCCTCCGCCACCACCCTCCGTTCAAGTGCGGGATTTTCTCTGATGAGGGGCATGGATGAAGTCACGGAGCATCCCTTACAAATGCCCCTGTGCTGTTATTCTGCAAAAAAGCATACAGAGAGTTTATATATAAAAATACTATACATGGTATGTGTGTGTATATATGTGTGTTGTCTATATATATATAGTGTGTATACACGCTATATATAGTATAGTATAACTATACTATCTAGTATAGCACACATATATACGCACACTCAATATATATATACACATGTATATATATACACACTATATATATTTCCCCACACCCTACCCACAGGAGCGGTGCTTTCCCAGCACCGGCGGCAGTGGAGCGGGGAGCAGCGAAGCGGGTCAGTTCTAGGCCCCACTCTGCCCCGCCACCTGCCCGGGGGGTGACCTGTGCTCTTGTGCTGGGTGTCCCGGAGGGTGAGGGGGGTCCCAGAGCAGCTCCTCGAAGGATGAGAGGCTCCTCAGAACAGCTCCCCGAAGGGTAAGGAGCAATTTTGACGGAGCTGCTGCTGTTGCTGGGTTGCTGGGGAGTGGCCTGCACTGAAACAGAAGTTTCCTTGGTACTATTTTGATTCTTAAACTTCTCCATCACTCAGATGAGAACAGACCAAGTGGAAGCATCTTTAAAGTTGCATTTCCTCTCAAACTAGAGTAGTTTGAAGGCAATGTGTGACTTTATCTTTCTTTAAAGGCAGTAACTCTGCTTTCTCCTTTTTATGCTGAGTACAGACCACCTTGTCAGCATGCTGCCTGACTGGAGGAGATTTTGTTAAGTAGTTTCAGAAAATAAAAAACGTGGCAGATTCCCACCTCTTACGTCTGAAAGAACTCAAAATCGAGATTATATTGAAAAAGTGAGTTTCAGCTTTTTGACCGAGATGTGGTTGTAGTGCAGCACCAAGGGTTCTGCTAAGCATCACAGAGGTCTGCATGCAGGGACTGGGGAGCAGACTTGCGTGTTCAGTTTGGGATGTGCAGCCTCCCATCTCCCCAGTCACAGTTACACTGGTGTGGAGACAATCCTTGAAAGATAGTTAAGTTGCAAGCTCAGGGTTTGGGAGTTGCTTTTTTCCCCTTGTCAGCTTGTGGGCATGGAAGGGTGGTTGGGGCAAAAATCATCTGAGTGAGAAGCTGGATGATAAATCTGACAGGATTTGGATTAAATTGTTGGCACTGCTGAGAAGCGATGGGCAATGGAGCTAGATGGTGCCTGGTAGTGAAGCGAGTGAAAGGGTGGCCTCTGAGGGAGCTTTGCAAACTTTACCTGTGCCTGAGGAGCTGCCAGACTCCTGATGGAGAGGGCTGTAACAGAGAGGTGCACCATGAGCACTCAGCTGTATGGGTACTGGGGCTTCTCTAAACCTTTCTCCACCTTCAGGTGGCAGCTGGTGAAATGCCCTTTAGAGGTGGGTCAAAGATGCTGTGTTGCCGCAGAGGGTGCAGCGTGGCTATCCCTGAGCATGGCCCAACAGCCCCGTTCTGGCCATTTCCAGCAGAGATGGGAGATGGTAGGTGAGTGATGGTGGGTGGTGAGTGGTGGTGGGTGGTGAGCTGTGCCACCGGCACACCTTGGCTCAGCAGCTCTTCCAGCATCCTCAATATCAGCAGAGGCTTTCAAATTGGGCTGCAACCGCAAGGTCTTTCTGAGTAGTCTGAGTGTTTTGGTTTGTTTTTGCTTCTTGATCCCATCTTCTCCTGTCTTTCTGGATGTCTGGTGAAAAGAAGAGAATTACACCTGCCCAGGGGCTGCACTGCAATTTCTGCAGGGAAGCACCCAGAGCTTTGAAAGCCCATGAATGTCACTTCTATCTTTTAATTAACAATTAATAAGGAAACACAGGGCTGTGTGTTGCAGCACATGGTGCTTGCATGCTCTTACAAATAGAATCTGTTCTATCTTACACCTTGCGTCTCTAGGTGTGAGCTGTTTACCCTGGGATATTGATTGCTGAGGACTGAGTCTGATTTACCAGATGAGACCGAGCAGAAAGGATATATTTCTTGATGTAACTGCATTCTCTGGTATTAATTGAATTTAACTAAGTGGAAAACAACATAGAAAAAAAAAAGTGCTTCAGTTCTTTTCCTTACCTGAAGGAGCTTATGTAAAACCAATACAAAATAAGAAAAAAGTTGTTTAGGTCTCACTAGGTTCACACATCCTTCTAAAGAAATACAGTGTGTATAGCTGTTGCTTTGGTTTTCTTTTTTTTCCCAAGTTTAATGACTGAGCAGTTATGTTCACCTTTTAATCTTTGTCCTAAAGTCTCACCACCTTTAAAAACTTTGAGGATTTTGTGCTGAAATAGATTGATCGTACCGACAGAGGAGGAATCTGTGGGCTTTAATGGTTGTGATCTGGGATGTATTTATGAATGAGCACTTAAGAAGCCATTTAACCCTTCCCATTTCCATCGCCTTCTTGCAGCACGCTCGTTTGTGTTCACGCAGTTAGACAGACAACACGCTGATCAGTTCCAACTAAATGGAAGGGAAAAAAGGAATTGGCCAATTTTGGTTTGAACAGTCTTTAGATTTCACATTGTGTTTAGCTGCTTCTCTGTGTGGGGTAGCAATTCTTCTCGGTAAATCAATAGTGTGGAAAAGGCATAGTTCAGGCTCCTCACACCACACAACAATACTGAATCAGTTGGCAGCTTTACTCCGCCCCAAGAATCCCTGGTGTATTGGACTAAAAATATTCTACTTTCTGTAGTAGAGTGGGCTGTCATATAAACATATCATGAGATATGAATCTGTCTGATCTAGTGAGGTCTAGTTGCAGGAAGAAGAAATTATTTTTTATTCTCTCTTGTTTCCTAAGATAATCACATCATTTTACAGCCCAGGATTAATTTTGGCTCTTAAAAGATTATATAGCTGGGTCAGAGTTAATCTAGAAATGTATATATAAAGCACCGGGCATGATTACATTCGTGTTCAGTCCGAGTGATTTGTGGATTCCTTTTTTTTATTTAATTGTTGTCTCAGAGGACGACATTTCAGCAGAGGGATGGTAGCCTTTCTTCAGCTGCCTTGATAGCAATAATAATCTCTGAGATAAGGCTTAAGGGGGATTAATTCCAAAGTCAATTTGTCGCTATAATTCTGGCCATTGAGTGTGTTGGCAGTGCAGACAGCCACTGAGGGGACCAGGCTATAGGTTTGGTTGGGTAAAAAAACAGGGGAATATGTCAGCTGTCAAGAAGACCTGCTTTCAGGTTTTTTAGACCTTTCCCTTTCTATGCTTGAAGTTAAGTGTAGGGCTGGAAGAATTTGCTGACTATTTTGTTGAAGAAACTTTTCAGGGAGGGACTGGTGAGCCTGATGCTAGCAGCTGTGCAACAGGACCCAGTTGTCCCCGTCCCTGTACCCTGGCAGGGGTGCAGAGCAGGCAGCCGCTGCTCCTCCTCTGCGCTCTGCATCCGCTCCTGTCATGCTCCTTTTTGTAACCTCTCAGCCTCGCAAGATGATATTCAGTTATCTCTTCTGTGCACTTGTAAATAGAATTGGGTTTGGGCTCTCTTAAATATGACCCACAACAGAGGAGGTTTAATATCAAAATATGCTGAACTCTACAATAATTTTAGGTGGGTCTGATGCATCTGGTGAAGCATCAGATGTGTGTTTGGGCTGGTGCCCCAGCAGGCTCTGCAGATGCTGTCTAGCTTCGAAAGCTGCTCTCAGTGCCATGGATAAACCCCACCACCCTCCCATCTCACCTGAGGCACCCCTTGCTGCCTTGAGCCTCTGCCAGGGATTGTAGGCTTGGTCACTCCTGGTGAGTTTTTCTGTGCCAATGGATGCAGGTGAAATCCAGATGTGATGGTCAAAAGTTCACACCGCTGTCCCTTTTCCATTATAAGGAAGAATATCTGCTCCAATGAAGCGTTAGAAGGACTGTGAATCTTCCCAGGGATCTGCAGACATAAGAGTAGGAGCATCCAGCAGCAGACACGGATACAAATCTTACAAAACCTTGGTGTAAAGGTATATTAGCTACTCCCTGACACTTTTTCTGAATTGAATCCTGAGTCTTCTATCCAAATGCTGACTGTGATTGAAGGGGGAATATCTTTAGCCTGATACTAATTTTGGACTGTGTAATTGAGACTGTATTGGAATTGTATAATAATTTTATTGTTGCTATGACATAACGTAGAAGGCGCGATTATGGCACCGTGTACCAATAGATCCGCTGTAAAGGCCTCCACTTCATTAGGTTTATTCTGGATGTCTAATCTTAAGTGCTGTTCTCCAACTTCCTTGTAACTTGTTCAAGAAAAAAACATCAAAGTAATATGGAGCGGGACACTCACACTGGAAATGGATATTGCTGCATGAGCTGCAGTTGAGCACAAGGCATCCTAGCTTGCTTTCAAACACTTGGCATTTATTTATGTTTTGATGGTAGGATTTCATGCCATGCCTCATGAGGGAGGACTGTAAAATCAACCTTTCAGAAGCTGCCTGTTGCCAAAACAGGAGCTCATTTCAGGTTCATCCACCAACTCACAGCAGCGAAAGTTGCCAGGTTATCATTCCCTTCTATCCGTGTGCTGACTGTGCTTTGGAGGGCAATACAGCTGATCAAGCAAAGCACCCAGGAATTGTGCTTGGGAGGCTGAGGAGAGATTCACCACCTATGTGGATCAGAAGGGGCCAAAATGAACATCAGGTTAGTGTGAACCATGCAGACATCCTGGGGAAGCAAACAAGATCTGGTGTTTGTGCAGCTGTTGTTAAGTCCACGTTGGAGTTGGACCTTGGGTGTTCACCATGGCTCAAAGTCTCCATCACATAGGAGATATTTCAGGGTGACCCTGGTGATTCATATGGTGATGATTTTGCCTTGGACAAGGACCACTCCTATTGTGAAGGTTGTTAATCCTTGACAGGCTCAAGCAATGATGTCCCAATGATTTAAGGCAAGCCCCTGGGTGTCTCCTTTGTGTTCTTCACATGAAGACAAAGTGGAAAATCTGGAAATGAATCCAATGTGTTTTCTGTCAGCCACCACCAAGATTATTCATGCAAAGAGTTGTGTGAAGTTTCAGCTATGGAGAGCATCTTCACTGTTGTCCCCAGCTTCCAAGCATTCTTCCTGTGGATAGTGATGGTAGTTCCATACACTGCCTTACCTTGGCATGGAGCAAAATGGACATGTTGATCAGGGAGCCTCTCTGTGGGCCCCTCTAATCTTTCAAATCAAGCAAAATCCCTACCCTGAAAATCTCTATTTTTAATAGCTTCATATTGAGCTCAAAACATGGGGACCGATGTCAAAACATGTGAAATCCTCTGTGTTGGAGCTGTCCCTGGAGACTGTTACGGTTTGCTTCTTGTCCGTTCTGATGGACATCTCTTGGAAAAAGAGATCTTTGCAATTGTTTCTAAGCCTGAAACTCAGGATAGGGATAAACAATTGTTAATCAGGCTGTGAACTTTATGAAGGCCTCGCATAGTATTTCAGGGAGGTGGAAGTTCTCTGAAGGATCCAGAGGAACTTTGGCCAGCAGAGGAGTGGTGAGGTGGTCACATGTTCATAGAGGACAGGAGTAAACCCAGCCACAAGGAAAGAACATTTCCAAGCAGAGAGGAAAGCTGTGTCCTGGAGCTTTTTGTGATAGCTGAAGAAATCTATGCAGGAAAGAGGAGTGTGGCTGATGCTTCCAAAGCATGCAATCAAACCAAAACCATTGCTGGCCAAGGAATATTATCAAAGATGGAAATAACTGTGTGTGATAAATCCTGTGTTCTGGTTTCTGAAGCAGAGTGGTGTTGCTGCTCATTTCTGTCCATTGTCATCAGCAGTGGGACAATCCATGTTTAGGGTCATTTGTACAGGGATCTATTGGGAGCTCTGTGCCATTGCAACGCCAGATGTGGGTGCCTGTGGAAACAGGGGCCTTTGCATGTGGGAAAGACAAGTTTCAGCGTGGAAACAACAAGCAAGACCTTGCAGATCCTTCCAGTTGGAAGCATGGAAGCTACTGGCAGCATTTGTAAGTGTTGATGGAAGTGGTCAGATTTTACACAACAGGCCAATAAAATCCTGATATCTCTCCCATCTCCTCAGGATGGTAAAAGATTCAAGCTGTCGTGTGGTGGAGATGGACTTCTAGATCTGTATAGCTTGGGTATAGCTTGTAGCTGGAGGCACGGTAGGCCCCTGTGAAACCTCACCAGATGGAGAGGGAGAGGAAAGCACTCACTATGCACAGTGTCACATTGACATTTATTTTCAGGTTAGAGAGTGTATCTTTCTCCTTGTTGTTATTGCCTTCATGATACTGTAAAGAAACTCATGTTGTGATCATTTGTGGGTTTTAGGGGTTTTCCACTCCCTGCATCTCCTCATCCTGCTTAAGCAAGAGGCTTTTTAGCTACCTTCCCGTAAATGTTTTTCTGCTTGCAGCTCCCAATTTTAAAGGAATTAAATATCTGTGTGTGCAGACTCTTCTTGTCCATGCATCCTCCAGAGACAAAAGTCTTTATGTTACCCAGGGACAAGTTAAGCCGTGTGGCTTAGTTTGATTCCACATCTCCTGGAACAATCTCCCATATGGATGGCTGGTAACAATAGGAAGGATTTTTGCTTGGACTCTGGGATCTCAACACTGCTAACATTTGATTCAGTGGACCATTTGTTTTTCTTTAGCTCCCTGTGGCTAGCAGGGCATGGTGATGTGTCAAAGACAAGACTTGGAAACAAGAGATGTGGGCTGTGTGTGACCCAGAGCCAAGGCTCGGAAAGCCCAGACCCACATGTACCAAGCTGGGGGAGGAACTTCCCTTGATCTCTTTGGGCTTTGAAGCAGATGTCTGAGGGTGAGATCTGCCGATAGCTCAGCTGCACACTCAACTCTTGTTGACTTCTATGCAGCAGAAGCAGATGCTGAACCTTTCTGCTGAAGTGGGGCTTTGAACTTGCTGTGCTTGTTTCCCCATGCTGTAACAGTGGAAGAATACCTGTTTTTTGCCAGCGAGTATCAGTCAGATATCAGATATCCCACCATCTGGGAAAGCTTGCCCAAAATGTTTTGGTTATTTATTAGCATGGTGATAAACAAAACTCGTGATTAAGTGCCTCACTGAAAGAAAGGAAGTAATTCAAATCAAATCCATGCAGCTGGCTAGGAATATGTCAAAACAAAACGATCATTTTTACATTCATCATGCAAAAACCCAAGGTGTTACAAGGCACCTTGGTTTGATAATGGAACAAAACATGAAAAAGCCTTTATTTTGTTTCTGAATGCTGGCATATTCTTTTCCAGTACCTGCAGGGAGCAACTAGCAATTGAAGTAAAGTTCAGCTAACTTTTCTTTTTTGTTTCTTTGGAGCTTGTACTTGTTTTTCTTTGCCCATTTCTGTCACACTGATACTATAAAATGCAGAGAAAGCGATGCCCTGCGTTGCTGAGTGCAGAAGTAACTCTGTTTTGCAATGTGTGTTGGCAGTGTTCCTACATCCCTCCCTGCGCAAGAGACGACCAGGAGAACTCTGAGAATGTCACATACAAGCAGAAATACTGGAAAGAGAAAGTGGGTGCGCAACCATTTACATGCTATTTCAACCAACACTTGAGGTGAGTAATCTACATTTGCATAGGCAGAAGTTCTTGTGCATCTGTTGAACAGCTGTCTGTTGGTTCTGTTTGAAAAGATATATAAATGCATGTGTATCTATATACACACACCCCCCAAATAGCAATGTGGTTCATCACACACAGTTTAGTGCAGAGCTTTGCAAGACAACTCTGTTGATGAAAAGCTACGTAGAAAGTAGAAAAGCGTTTTTTACCACTCAAAGTAAAAATGTAGAACTCCAATGAAAGTTTCCCTTAAAACATTTCATTTTATAGCAAAAAAAGTATCTTGACTTTTAACACTGAGATAACAAATTTATGGATAGATATTAACAGTCCCTTACTCTGTGGAAGAGAAATCCTTCTGTGTTCATGAGGTGCTGGAAGAAAAGGTGATATCAGTAAATACTGCAATACTCAGGAATTGTGTTCATAGAAGATTAATGAATCAGATCTGTGTCATAAACATTCACGGAACTGCCAGTTTTCATACGCGGAAAGTTTTTTCATGGAAAGTTGTAACTTAACGTTACTTAAACTTCCGTTTCTATCTTACTTCTACTACCAATGTTGATGTGGCTTCCTTTTGTACACACTGGTGGTTTCCTTCCTTCAGCAAATGGGAAGAGGAGGGAGTCCTTTTGCCTGTCTCTTTCTGATGATGAGCTCTTTCTCACTGGGAGGTCTTGGGAGAACAGTAATGACCAGGATGATAGGTCCATGTAGACAGGGAGGTGGCAAGAGAGTATTTAAGATCTCCAGATCAGTCAAGGTTTTATGGGTTCTAAACTCCAATTCTGGAGGCATATGATACCTACATAATTTGATCAGCATGAATAATTTTGGTAAAGCTGGGGAGGCTGTTCTTGATTGCTGAGTTAAGCATTTGAATAAGTATCTGCCACATCATGGACTAAAGGAGGAGGTTGGTCCTACCCCATCAAGCATTTGGAAGTTAAACAGATGAGGGACACCTGGGTGGGAATAGCTCAGCGCTTGCTGGTGCAATTCGGGGCTCAGTGTGGGAGTGCTGGGATCAGATATTTAAGTTTGTTAGGACACACAGGAGGAGAATGGATGCTGGTGCGTGCTAGGACCTTGGAGGAACCAGGGAGCTGGAGCAGGATGACAGACACAGAGATGCCCAACTCTCCTGTGGGTGATCCCTTGAGTGCCGTCGGGGCTTCAGGTTTGTCCTAGGCTGGCTATGATTGTTGTCCCCTCCTTGGGGAGTCGGTAGACCTAGTCGGTGTGCCCAGGATGACAGTCTGTTGACCCTGGTTAACTCTTCACAGAGGGAAGCCACCAATGCTTCATAGCAAAAACCAGTTGTTTCTTACAGCGGGGAAAGAAACAGTGTCTATAGCATGCAGAGGTTAAAACTTAGGGCACTCAGTGCAGTGACATCAGACCTGGCAAGGACCTTCTTAGGAGCTGCTTTGGTCCACAAGGTGCCAATACTTGGGTCTGCTAACCAGGAGCTGACCGATGATTTTGGCTTTGCAGGGCAGGCAGGTGTTGCCAATTCTCACTGCTGAGAGCTGGGACCTGCAGCAGCTGTGGCCTGAGTGAGCAGCATAGTCAGAAACATGGGATCTTCTGCATCACAGCTAGGATTCATCTCAGCTGGTGTGGACAGGATGCTGTGAAAGTTAACCTTTACAGTCAGTGGAGAGAAATAGGAGCCTTCCATCTTACCCCGAAATAAATGCCTAATATAGGTCAGATGTCCAGAGATGTTTATTTCTCTCCTGTAAAGGAGCTTTGGGTGATCTTCTTCGGTGTAGATACCTAGGTGGTAGGTGTCCAGACCTAGATGAAGCAACGGCAAAGTTTTCTGAGGCTGCTGACTGCCTAGGGTCTGCCATTTATGTAGGTTGACACTGACGAATTGTGCAGCACTTGGGCAAGATTTTTTTCCTTATAGTTGCTGCATCCTATATTGTTAAATGTTCTTGCCAAATGCAATAGATGCCTTGAAATGCTGTCTTTTGCTGATCATACAACAATTTATATACAGCAGAAGAGAGGCTCGCTGCCAGCGATGTTTGAAGATAGTCTAAGCTGAAATGTGTACACCATCTATTTTCTGCTGGAGATAGGAATGAGCTTTGAGAGATAAGTTTTGCTGACTAGGAATGTGCTTGCTTAGGTATACTTTTAGAGCTATGATGACTAAACAGCTTGTGAAGCAGTAAAAAACCATGCAGACTGGGGGAAAAATCTTTTAACTTCAAAATAAGAATATGCACATTTTCTGTCAGTGTTTTTTTAGCTGTATGGATGAGCTAACTCTTCTGAGTCAGTCTGTATAAAACATATAGAGAATACAGTGGTAGATTCCTTAGAGTAGTATTTGCAATATTAATACTCTCTCTTTTGTAACAGACTAAAATTCTAGATAAATATCTAGGCAACAAATGAACAATGTCTCCTCTTCATCAAACAAATTAGCATCATTCTCAGAATTGTTGCTGCATGCAGGGTGCACTGTTGGGCAACACCTCCCTTCAGTTTGGTCAGACAAATTTCAACAGGCAGCTTTGAAAGGAAGAAGAAAGTGATGCCGTTTGTACAGTTCAAAGTTATATCACAGGGGTGAGACGCAGACTTAGCAATTTCAATCATTCTTGTTTAATATAATAGAGAGGCTCAGCACAACTTGCTGTCTGACATTTACCTTAGGGAACCAATGCGCAGCTTAGCTTGGAGCTCTGCGCTTTACTGAAAAACAAGGTTTTGCTTTGCCACTGCAGGCGCTCACCTTTACTGTCCTGCTCTTCTCTGGCTACCTTTGAGCCAAGTGGTGGGAGCTGCATGTGAAAGTTGCTTTTACAGACCTCTGGTGAAGGTGCCTCTCTGTTGGCATGATGACACTCTGCTCTGTAGTGAGTCCAGAAACCAAGCCCCAGTGTTTCAGAGCACAAAATAAATGACAAATTCAGATGAAGTTCTCAGGCTGTTGCTAAAGATTTGGGAAGGCACTGAGCTCTGGTGCTTCAGTGTTCATGGACCTCACAGTGAGTGTCCCAGGGGGTCTGTAGTCATGACCATGTGCAAACAAGGGTCACAGCTGCACACCTTAAAGTGAGAGACTTGCACGAATGGACAGGATGGAGGAGATCTTGCCTTTTTTTTCCTTCATGTTCCAGGTCTCATTGACATCAACAAGAAAAAAAAGAGAGAAATCTAGATCTCCATCTGCTCAGCTCTCTCAGTTTCATGCCATGCAGAGACAGACAGAACATGTGTCAAGTCATTTCTTATTAGTGGCTCATTTTTGTGGCATTATTGCTTTTTGGCTCTGGGTTCATCCAGCATGACAAGAACACTCTGGTTCCTGTGCCGCAGTGCAGCACATGAACCAGCCACACTGTATAACACTTCTCTGCATTTGCTGCAGGATGTTGTACACAAATTCACCTGTGATTTGAAAAGCCAACACTGTTTAGTGATTAGCGACCACCTGTACCGTGCTGGGGTACCCTGCAGGCCATTTCTCTGGGACTGATGATCTGCAGAGCCAAGGGTGCTCAGGTAGTGAGGCTGCTCATTCATACATGGTGGAAGAGAAATCTCAGTTTGCGTTGGTACTTCACAAAGTTTCCTAAATTAATCCCCTCCAGTCAGATCGTGTTGCTATTTCCTATCCTTTGTTCTACTCTGTCACTTGTGAAGCAGTTCTCAGGCCCAAGAGGGAAAGGACTTTACTGTTAGTAAGACATTGCACTGCCCCTGCATGCAGCCACTCAGCTGAGGAGCTCTGGGTCTCACAAGAACAGGGAAAAAAGGTGCTGTTGAGTGCTTGCCATAGCGAAGAAATATGAATAATTGTGGGCAAAGTAAGTATATGCAGATTGCAAACATTTTTAAATCCAGATTGTTCTGAATACAAAAAAATATTTGTAAGGTTTCCCTATACTGTGCCCTGCCTCTGTCAGCTTTCTCTGTGTCCCGTAAATTGCACGGTGTGGTGCATAAGTGATGACTGAAATGTTTACGTGCCTCTAACTTTTTGGTCCTTTAAGAACTTTTTGGTTCTACATGACCTTTTGCTAACCCCTGCACTGCAGTTCTTCCCATGATGTTCAGTAATTGCTCTGAAGGCTCTGATGGATGCCTGGTTTATCCAGTGTCTGTTACGGACTGCTTGGCAGCACCTATCAGGGATGCGTTGCATAATGCAACCACTAATCCAGTTATCCCTGGTCACCACCCCTGAGCTCAAAGTCCTGCTAAAAATAAGTGCTGCTCTCACCTTTAGGCAACGAAAACAGAATTCCTCCCTCCTTGTCTGCTTAGTGAAAGGGAAAGTTGATTTTCAGAGTTAAGATAGAGACTTCTTCAGGAGTTTTTAGTTTGTTAATTCTTCTTTCACCCTGGAGCTACTGCTGGGCAGTGGTGGTGGTGCTGCACAGTGGCCATCACCGTTTGCAGCAGAACCAGGTCTTGATGCCCGAGCAGGGCTTGAAAGTATCCAGATTTTTTTCCTCTTTTTGTCCTACTAGGTTTCTCTTTTGCCCCTGTCACTGTTTTGTGCGCTAATAACTGGTTTTAGAAGTTTGAGTGCATCCTCTCAAGAGGCTTTGCTTTCACTGGAGGGCTGAACAGCACCATCAGCTGACACAAGACCTGGTCCATGACTGAGCTTATGGGGAGTATGTACAAACCCTCTGGTCAACATCTTTGAACTGAAGTATGATAAGAAAGTCACAGAGCAAAGATGGGTTTATTAAATGTGATATGCTTACAGGGATAAAGCAATATCTTTAATTATATCTGCTGATTTTCACAGGGAAAAGAAGCATGTTTCTAGGCATGCCATACCTCTTTGGGGTTCAGCATTGCTGCCTCAGCACCAGGGGAGTGATGCTTTGGGGGCTTCCAGCAAAGTTGTATCTTTGCCATGAAAGGGTTTCCCCCAGGGACAGGGACACCATCCCTTTTCTCTTTCCAAGCCAAACAACAAGTCTTCAGACTCTGGGAAGAGGCAGGTCAAC